GAACGGCCCCTCCCGGGCCCTAACGCGGCTCTGCGGTTTCTCTCCGGGCCAGATGCCACCGTGTACGTCGGGGGGCTGGATGAGAAGGTCAGCGAGCCGCTGCTCTGGGAGCTCTTCCTGCAGGCCGGGCCCGTGGTCAACACGCACATGCACAAGGATCGAGTGGTCAACACGCACATGCCCAAGGATCGAGTCACCGGACAGCACCAGGGTGAGGGGATCACTCTTTTTCTCTTAAAAACGGCGAGTTGGGTAAAATGCGTTGATGGGTGCGGGAAGAGGGGGGATGGAGGGATGGTCCCCAGGGGAGAACATTGTCCTTACCCTGAGGGGAGCCTTAGACTCCGTGCGTTTGAATTCGAGGGGCTGGAGCGTGGGCAGAGAAGGGCAACGGAGCTGCTGGGGAAGGGTCTAGAGGCCAAGTGTGGGGAGGAGCAGCTGAGGGAGCTGGGGGTGCTGAGCCTGGAGCAAAGGAGGCTCAGGGGAGACCTTCTGGCTCTGACACCTCCTGACAGGAGCCTGGAGCCAGGGGGGGGTCGGGCTCTGCTCCCAAGGGACAAGCAACAGGGTGATGGAATGGCCTCAAGTTGCTGCAGGGGAGGTTGGGGTTGGAGCTGAGGGGCAATGTCTCCCTTGAAAGGGAGTCCCCACCCCTGGAGGGGTTCCCAAGCCGTGGAGCTGTGGGGTGAGGGTCCCTCTGACCCTCCCTCCCCCGGGGCTCTCCCTGCAGGCTATGGCTTCGTGGAATTCCTCAGCGAGGAGGACGCCGACTACGCCATCAAGATCATGAACATGATCAAGCTCTACGGGAAACCCATCCGGGTGAACAAAGCCTCTGCCCACAACAAAAACCTGGACGTGGGGGCCAACATCTTCATAGGCAACCTGGACCCGGAGATCGACGAGAAGCTGCTGTACGACACCTTCAGCGCCTTCGGGGTCATCCTCCAGACCCCCAAAATCATGAGGGACCCCGACACGGGCAACTCCAAGGGTTACGCCTTCATCAACTTCGCCAGTTTCGACGCCTCGGACGCGGCCATCGAGGCCATGAACGGGCAGTACCTCTGCAACCGGCCCATCACCGTGTCCTACGCCTTTAAGAAGGACTCCAAGGGGGAGCGGCACGGCTCGGCGGCAGAGCGCCTCCTGGCGGCGCAGAACCCGCTCTCGCAGGCCGACC